TGGACGTAGGAATTCTCCGCGAGCTGTGGATGCAACGCCTTCCTGAAAGCACTCAGGCTATCCTTGCAGTAGCAAGTGACTTGCCAATCACAGCAATTGCAGATCTGGCAGACCACGTCATCGAACGGCACTAGCCAAAGCAGCTTTGTGCTGGCGCAACCCTACCGACACCCACGACTAGCTCGCCGTCGGCAATAGACGCATTATCATTGCAGATAGCGTCGCTTCAGCGCCAGATCGAGGAACTCACTTTAAACCGTAAGCACCGCAACCGCTTTGGATCATCGCCCCGTCGCACAAAACCTGATGCCACAGGTTACTGCATTTACCACTTGTGGTCCGGTACTAAAGCCCGTAAGTGCGTACAGCCGTGTAGATACTCCGCTACAGATGATCCGCAACGCCGTCCTGTAATGGCCAAGAATGACGCCAGCAAAGTCCACAGTCGTCTCATCTACATTGTGGATTATGATTCCGAGACCCAGTTCTTAGTAGATACCGGGGCGGAAGTAAGTGTCATTCCCCCTATGCCAGGTGAGCCTACCGCTTCTCCGTCGACAAACTTAAATGCTGCCAATGGTACACCAATAGCCACCTATGGTCATCGGTCGCTTACCCTAGACCTAGGTCTTCGGCGCACGTTCCGCTGGGTATTCAACGTCGCTGCAGTTCCCTTTGCCATCGTCGGCATTGACTTTTTCAGGCATTTCGACCACTTGGTTGATGCGAAACGTTAAATGGTAGTCGACAAAACAACAAACTCAGTTTAAGTGACATCACCGCCAATATCGCATCTATAAAGCCGGTCTACGCCTTTCCCCAGTTCTCGTCAGACTACGCCAATCTCTTTTCCTAGCATTACAGGCTCGTTTAGCCAATGAACGCAGCTTTGCCCGTGGCATCCCATGTCACGCACCACAAGGACGAATGACCTACCCGTCTCATGCCGACTATCACCAGAGAAACTAAAGGTAGCTAGGGCGGAGTATGAGCACATGCTTGAAGTTGGAATAATCCGCCTTTCCGAAAGCCCTTGGTCCTCTCGCCTGAAGATGGTCCCCAAGGAATCTGGTGACTGGCGCCCTTGCGATGATTACCGCGCACTCAATCGCCTAACCGTCCCAGATAGGTATCCCACCCCACACATGCAGGACTTTACCGCATGCCTCACAAGTAAGACGATCATCAGCAAGATCGATCTGGTTCGCGCCTTTCACCAGATACCTGTGGAAGACAATGACATCACTAAAACGGCCGTCATTACTCCTTTCGCTTTGTATGAATTTTTAAGAATACCATTTGGACTGTGCAACGCCATACAAACCTTCCAACAATTCATCCACGATGTCACTCGCGACCTAGACTTCGTTTATTCCTACTTCGATGATATTTTAATAGCCAGTTAATCGGAACAAGAGCACCTCGACCACCTACGAACTCTTTTCCAGCAATTAACCCAACACGGTGTCATAGTCAACCCGATTCAGTGCGAACTCGGCTAATCAACGGCAGAATTCCTAGGCCACCTCGTTTCATCCTTTAGTATCGAAGTCCTTCCTGATAAGATCCAGGCAATCAAAAAGTTCCCAGCTCCGACTTCGTTCAAGCACTTTTGTGGATTGATCAACTACTATCGACGAGTCATTGCGTGCTGCGCTCAGCGCATGCAGCCTCTGACTAACCTATACAGAGGGAATGAATGTAAGTTCGCTTACCCGGACCCAGCACAGAGACACTTCAGCGAGCTCAAGGGTGCTATCTCTAACATAGTCCTCCTCGCTCTCACCGAATCCATTGTACCCCTTTCTAATTCGACTGATGCCTCAGATGTCGCGATAAGAGACGTCCTCCAACAACACGTTGGTGGGCAGTGGCAATTCCTTGGGTTCTTCTCCAAACGCCTGTAGCCAGCGGAATCCCGCTACAGCACGTTTAGAAGAGAACTGCTCGCCATTTATCTAGCCACTCGTCCCTTCCGGCACACACTCGAAGGCCGCGCTTTCACGGCCTACACTGACCACAAGCCCCTTATCTTTGCCTTCAACTCTACTTCCGACAAATACTCACCACGGAAAACAAGACACCTAGACTTTGTCACGCAGTTCACTGCTGACATATGTCATATCTCAGGTGTTGACAATCTCGTCGTCAACGCTCCCTCACGCGTCAACTTCACTCTCCAGTCTTTGCCTACCGTCGACCTTGTCGTCATGGCCTCGGCTCAGGCTCAAGATGAAGATATACGACGCACTCTGCAGTCTACTTCGCTGCATGTTCAGCGTGTTCCTCTCCAAACCACGGAAGGAACTATTCTTTGACAGTTCCACAGGTTGTCATAGACCACTCGAGCCCGTCTCTTCAGACGCACAGCACTCACTATCAAATCCCGGTATCCGTGCATCTTTGAAAATGGTCACCCAACGCTTTGTTTGGCCATGCGTAAAACAAAATGCTCGTACCTAGGCTCGCGCCGGCCTATAATGCCAGCGCTCCAAAATACATCGTCACGCCCACAGTCCACTTGGTTCTACCCCTCCCCCCCCCCCGGACTCTCGGTTATCGCATGTACACTTAGACCTGGTAGGTCCCTTGCCTCCTTCACGCGGATTCGTATACATTCTTACATGTGTCGACCGCTTCACCAGATGGCCAGAAGCCATTCCCTTAACAGACTGCACAGCTGAGACTGTTATCAGGGCCTTCCTGGACCGGTGGGTCTCGCACTGCGGATGCCCATCAATCATCACAACTGACCGAGGAACGCTTTTCGAATCTTCACAATTCGATACGTTCTGCAACTTTTTAGGCTGTTGACGCATTCATACCACAGCGTATCACCCGGCAGCCAACGAGTTAATTGAACGCTTCCATAGACATCTAAAAGCCTCGCTTTGCATCTCCACCGAATCTAGCTGGAGCGAAAACGTTTCGCTCGTACTGTTAGGTATTCTCAACGACAGCAAAGCTGACTTGCTATGTGCATCAGCACAGCTGGTTTACGACACAACGTTATAGTTCCCAAGAGAATTCGTTTCATCTCCCGCATCGTGGTGTATGCCTCCGCCTAACTTTGCGTCCTCCCTAGCTCAACGCATGTGTTCACTACGCCCGACTCCGCCCCGTGAACAGACTAGAGATGTGCAAAAGCACAGCGAACTCCCTACCTGCACTCACGTCTCCCTCCGCACCGACGCAGTGCAGCACCTTCTGCAGCTTCCCTACAATGGTCCTGTCAGAGTTCTGCAACGGACTCCGAAACGTTCTACTTTAGACCAGAATGGTCAACGAAAAACGGTGTCCATTGACCGCCACAAAGTGTTTTTCTTTGACGAGCCACTTGCAACCCATCCTGATGCCTTCGCACAAGTATCCACACCTGCGATGACTTCCCGAGCACTGGATATCCCGAAGCCCTCCGTACCCTTTGAATCTCAACCTATCCCGCCTCAACTCCAGGCAACCGACCGACGCGGTAGACAGTCCAAACGTCCGGTCCGTTTTCAGATTTTTCTAAACGTTTGCTATTTCTATTAACATGCCATTTTCGTCTTTAGTGCTAATCGTTCGTCTCATCTACAAACGTTTTACAAAACCTACAAAAAAGCCCAAACTATTTTAAAAACTTAAAAAGCGTATTTGCTTCTATCATGCATGCCATGTCCCCTCTCCGGCGTCAGGCCACTTCCCTGACTCTTGTCCACCCCCTGTGTTCTACCTTCCAGAAACAACCGGCGGAACTACCAAGGCAACCCTCGAGCGACTGTCCAACCGGCCGAACGCAACCCTCGAATGACTCGCCAACCGACCCAAGGCCCCCTTCCTGACCCAAGGAACAGTCAGCCGGTCTCGGCTGCGGACGGCCACGAACGGGTTGATCCCCAAAGGCCTGGTTAGGCGTTGCCGACGAGGACGCCGGATTTCTTCGTGGGACGAGGACCGTGGACTGGAGTGCGGTGGATGGAGTGACATCTCCCAAGCGCACCGTCGAGTCTGCAGCGGAGGAAATGTCCTGTCGGCCTTTTTTCTGGACTAGCCAGTATTTTTTGCGGTCTGACCAGCCCGCCCCGACGGCCCACCGATGATACCCTCTGGTTCACACAAGCATCATAAATAAGTAATAACAAAAGCCTGGATCCAGCGAACGCTGCTACACATTCCATCTTGGAAGCCCATGCAACCATTCGCATCAATCCTCACCTCTCGTTTTTTCCCACTAACAGCTCCATCGAAGGCTTCTATCCTTCAGTCTTTTAGGGGGAGGCCCTTGTAGTGTCCCGGAAAGCATGTCCTTTCAGTATTTTGCGAGATTGGATGTTACCATTGTTTTAAACTTCAAAACGTCCACTTGTTTCACTGATGGCACTTCCGTCGTCACAAATTGTTTTGGTGAGTATCTTGTTGCACCGTGTCTAGCTCTAGTGGATTCGCTTCCTATTTTTGTAGCTTGCACGATACACGTTGGGTTCAGTCGCCTCCAACTTCTATCCTATTCCAGATTTGTCACGTCTCTTGTCATTGATTACCGACTAATATTCCAGGCGTCACCCAACACACGTTAAAACATCCAGTGTTCTTTGGCCCGTCCATTTGTCTCCCGAGAGTTCCAATACGACAAGTCCTTGCTGACCTTAAGCATCTCCAAGTGACCAGACGCATAATCGATTTGTACTGGCGAATCATGGCTTCGTGAATGTGTTTCGGTCAATAAACGCTATCGGTGCTTCATGCTGCGTGCGTCGGTACGTGGGAAGATGTATGCGCATCCAATATCCAATTAGTTGAGAAGGCTAGCCAATCAATGAGTCGTGAAACTGAGTGCAGCTTGAAAGCGCCACACAGTATCATGAATGTAGAACGGATTGACTTGGTTACCTAAGAGATTATCTTGATTAAAATTTTGAGCTGCGGACAGACACATGCGGGGTAGCGACAGTTTAAGGAATTGTACCCACATGTGCCGAATTCTGGCTGAACATCGTAAGACATGAGGGGGAACTCACCAAATTTGCAAAATAAGAAAACATAATCCCCGTAGAGTAGGGTTTCAACGACCCAAGCTGCTATTCCAATGTGATTTAAGTATTCGTAGAAAGTATATTGGTAAACGAGGACAATGAGAGAGCAAAGACGATGTAGACCGAGAGCACACAGGTAAGGCGAGGTGATGATACCCCTGTCCTTGACCTGCGTCATCACAACTGACTGAGGCACGATGGAAACTGATTCCAGAAACGCTGAGAATGGGGAGAGAGCCTGGAAACAAGAACACCGCATGAAAGAATGCTTAGTACAAGGTAAACATCATATCCGTAAAGAATATCAACACAAACATGGAGAAAAATAGGTGAGTGGCGGTACGCCTGGCCAGAATAATGCCACGACTACATCCTGAGGCATACAGGACGGTACAGGGTTTCATTATCGAGCATTAATGAAGAAACAAAAGGGATACAACTTCATGAAACGGTAGAAAAATATTAAGGTTGACAGTTATGCGCATAAAATCCCACTGAAGTGTTCACCTATAGCAAGTACAGATGCATACAGCTAAACAGATGCCAGTGAGAAACGAGTCGGTGTTTATTCGATGTGTAGTTCATATGTCCTAATTGTAATCAGTCGAAGGTGCCGCTTATGATGTGAGTATGGAGACGCAGTGAACGTGATAGGGCCGATGTTGCTGGACGCAGCGTTGGAGATGCATCTGAAAGACCAGACATGTATTACCGCATAACTGGTGGCTATACCTAAGTGATGTGCCAAGTTGGGTAGTGCACAATGAGAATGTCGATGTAATACAGAAATAGCTGATGCCACCAGCTCAAGTACTAGTCACTGAGGAGCTGGAGTGCCGGACCCAAGGAGTGCGCCTATAAGCAAACGGACTGCAGTCTATCACGCAACATGTATGTATAGACGGCTATACAAGGTTCTTCTTATTCTGAATGAGTAAGCGACCATTATGCACCAATCGTAGGCTAGTCAGCCGTTCACTGAGACGACAGTGCCTTCATGGCATACGTGTCGAATCCACAGATGCTAGGTGTCTTTTTGAGCTTGAGGTATGATCACGCGTACCCGCCTTATTGATGATAGATGGACTTGGTCCAAAAGTCGTGGTTCCTATGTTCAGGACTCTCGGTCCCATTCATTCAGGTTTACGCTAGACCTGGTGTGTAGATGAAGAAATGGATGATGTAAGGCAATCCGTTCATGATCTCTATGTAGATGCAGACGTCCTGTGGCCTCACAGTCAGAGTGACAGATAAACGAGGAAATGGATATGGCCAACCATGTGTTGCTGTGGTGTGCTATACTCCCTAGAAATGCAGACATACATTTTCCAGTCGCATCGGTCTCTCCACCAGATGCTGGCATCCATTAACTCCTAAAGGAACCGCGAGCCACCGTAGAAAGTGACCGTGTGTGCCGACTGTAAGATAAAACCAAATAAGAAATCTGGCGTATTAAACATAGGACACCGAAAAGTGGTTGAAACTTGAGCTGAACTTGTTGTGTCGCCACTGACGGCTTCACCGCACGACCGCAAGAAGTCCAAAGACGAGCCAGAAAGAGACTTGTGTACATGAAATCACAGTTGCTTATATAGTTTTGAAGGCAAAATGAAGGAAAGCTACTAAATTACACTTGAGAAAACCAGCAGAAGCAAAAACGTCAAATGCAACGGCGCATAAGCAACCGTGTACTCAAGAACGAATCGCGTAGGTCCTTAAAAATAGCATCATAGGACTCCAAGCTTAAAGCGAACATCCATTAACAGCGATGGGCACTGGCCAATCAGAACAACGAAATGAAGCGTTTAAACAAATGTCACGAAACAAACGAGAATAAGAAATGCAGACCAAAAAATTAAAAATTAGTACAATAATCGTGTGGCAACTAAATATTCCTTTAACATAACCAAGTAGAACAGTGATGATAAGAAAAAAACCAATGGAATGTGTTCTTGCAAATGGCACTGCTGAAAAGGACATGAAGATGAGCGTCCATTAACAATGACGTGGGTGTACCAATCGGGTTAACCCAGTAGAGAGTTTAAACAACAGTCAAGAAGTAGAAAATAGGAAGAGTAAAGAATAGCTATTAAGCTCGTTCACAAAAAAATGAATGTCTGATAGCTGTTCTCCTAATAGAACTGCTTAGTGTTTCCGGTGAACGGTGGCGTCTAGCATTAAGGTGAGCTCATCAAGTCCGTCGCTGAACATAGCGGTTTGGTCGTGACAAACATGAGGAAGTAGTGTTGTAACGGATAGGGATTAGGCAGCTTTAACTAGTCGGACACACAAGACGATAGTCCGTGTTTATCGGAATACGTATTTACATATAAGGTCAGAGGTTCAGCCGGCGGATCCCAGAAGACCATATTGTATCACGGACACGAGGAAGCCATGAAATATATGTTTCTTGTTCGAAAATGTTGAATCAACACTCCACTGGTTCTTTTACATTCGGTTAAGAATAATGGATGAAGGACGATTGTATGAAGGCGCAGTGCAGATTCTGTGCTTGTTGCGATTCAAGAGGTAGTCCATATCACCAGACATCAAAAAGAAACGAGCGATAATGTCAGTAGAGATGACAGATTATGAAAATCGCCAAGGTAAAGTCAGCAGTTATTATAAAATGGGGTCAGTAATGCATCGGTACACTGTACTTACGTCCCGTTGCTGTGAAACTACAGTCGGTTGCATATGGGCTGGGATGCTGCAAGGGCGTGCAAGCCTATGCAGGAGTGGGTAATCAGGTCCGGGGAACGATCCTCCTACAGTTTTGTGTACGGCTTTACATTTGTGAACAAGCTGTTCCTTCGATCGGTGGTAAGATACCCGCAACCCAAATGGCCGAATAAATAAACGAACGATATCCATCTGTTAGTGGTGACTCAGCCGGCGTGATTCCGTTGTACATTTTCTTTTCTTTTGTGTTGACACAATGGTTGAGGTGTTTTTCATCTTTAGCTAAGATGTACAATGATGATGAGTAAACTAAAGGCTCTATTGAGCAAATCGAGCTACCGGTATGTTGAAATATTGGGGGCGACGAAATTTGCTTTCTGCTGGTACCACGCAGCCATACAACCGTAATAACGGGATTGAACGGTAACGTTGTGCAATGGTTTGCATAAAAGTTTAATCCATGGTTAGTTGTACTTCCTGGTACCTAAAGCAGTATTCCGACAAGACACGATGACGAATAGAAATCAGATAAATTTGGTCTCCTGGTCCCCCCAAGCTGTGAACTGAAAGTGGGAAATGATCTATCTTGTAAATTGTTACAGGGTTATAGCTGTCGCGTCCAGGCTTCCAAGCCAAAGCTCCAGACAGAGAGCCTGGTGGTCGTTGTGATGGTGGCTGAAACCTATAGTGAGCGAAAACGCCATGATACCGGTAGGTAGACGGGGCGAATCGAACGCCACGCAGCATTTCGAGGGAGTATCAAACAGTTGCAAGTTAACCAGAAGGAATGTGGGCATGTCATCGGAGGCGGACTGGTCAGCCGGGTAAGCGATTGGTCGGCGCACACTTACGTCAAGCTCTGGGAGGACGGCAAGCCAACTGGATGAACATGCACTGAGTGTGTAAGTGACCAATCAGGCGCCAGCAGGACCAATGCAGTCTGCGAAAGCGGATGGGTTTTCTAGCCCACCAATAGACTTTACGCACTTGAGTCAAAGTTTGCTATGACACCGGACCAAGGGAAGAAACGTGTGGTCATGTGGACGAGTGACCAACCGAGCCAATCGTACAATTCGCCCAGAAGGTTAGCAACGCGGCTCGAGGTAATTTTAAACGGGATGAACGTTGCGAGAAAGCGTAAACCAATGGGAATGGAGCCAGCGACAGAATGCAAATAACAAGGGTGAGGCAGTACAGCGGCCTCTCGCAAATAGTGTATATACTCTAAAGATATCTAAGCATAATGCTAATAAACGACTTCATGATCGTAGCCTAGTCTTCTCGATTTATTGAGGGTTACATAACAGTCGTCTTGCCATCTAAATTAGGGGACGTTGGCGGTATTCCGGTCCACATCCAGCCATAAGTTTCCAGAGCAACTTCAGCAGTGTTTGTTGCACACAACGGGGTGGATAAACGAAAATGGGTTATTGTTGGTGCCCCCCTTTTCTTATTTCAGTCTGTTCGCCTCACAAACATTCTCATTCGCATTATCCACTAGCAACTTTTAGTAAACAGTATAAGTGACGGCGTTTGCGGTGATACGGGAAACCAACCATCTTTGGTGAGATTCGCAAGGAACACAATACTCTACCGTCAGTAGTAACCCTCAGACAGGAGACCATGCGTTGCTTCTCCGGTGATGTTCAACGTTCGTGCGCCAGGACACGCTACACTTGCATGCACATTTGATATTATTAGTGGTGATGTGTGCTGAGCCCCAGAGACCGGAAATTATTACTCCCATAAAAATACTAGGCTAACGGCGATGAGCCTATCGGTTGCACAAAGCCAGCATAAATGGAAAATGAACGGATTTTACGCTGGAACAGGTAGAGTTATCATTTTCAGAGTTGAAACTACATTGGTTGTTTGGAATGTGTGCAGCCAGTTCACATTAACGCATGAAGCAGTTCCAAACAACGTGTTTGCAGTTATCATAGATGCTGCAAAAAACTGTACTACTGACTGGTAGCTACACCACATAACACAAAATTAGCATGCGACCGGCTATATCTTTAGTCGCAAGGAGCGCGAATGCGCAAACAGTCGATTTAACCTTCGCGGATACGCTGTTTGGTGGGAGGTTTGATCTGTAGTTGGGCGACAAACCGACTTCAACCCTCCTACAAGAGATGCAACAGCTCTTTGGTTCATAAAGACCATGGATGAGAATCTGCTTCCCGAGTTGTTGCTACACGGGCTACTGGAAACATACAACCGATTCTGGCAATCGTGAGCTCCGTATCGTTCACACAACTAGGTGATTTAACAGATCGAGTCATGGAATTATCACAGCCAGAAGCCGACACTAGCAAAGTCGAAGCTGTCGAGTCCCAGGGCACTTCTATCATCGGCTTACAATCAGCGCTACGAGTACTGCAAGCACATGTTGCAATGCTTGGTCGCCAGGTCCAACAATTCACTTTGGGCGATCGTTGTCGCAGCTGATCGGATTCTGCTTCGAGACGCTTCAAGTTCATTAATGAGCAAACTTAATGTTGGTATCATCATTGTTTTGGCAATGCTGCTCGTAAATGCGACAAGCCATGCACT